ACTTTCAGGGAATGCTAATCTTCGAGGAGGCTTCCTGCTTAGATGCTTTCAGCAGTTATCCGTTCCGTACTTTGCTACCCAGCGATGCCCCTGGCGGGACAACTGGAGCACAAGTGGTACGTCCATTCCGGTCCTCTCGTACTAAGAACAGCTCTCGTCAACATTCCTACGCCCACAGCAGATAGGGACCAAACTGTCTCACGACGTTCTGAACCCAGCTCACGTACCGCTTTAATGGCGAACAGCCATACCCTTGGGACCTACTCCAGCCCCAGGATGCGATGAGCCGACATCGAGGTGCCAAACATTCGCCGTCGATGTGAACTCTTGGGCGATATCAGCCTGTTATCCCCGGCGTACCTTTTATCCGTTGAGCGATGGCCCTTCCACACGGAACCACCGGATCACTAACTCCTGCTTTCGCACCTGCTCGACATGTCCGTCTCACAGTTAAGCACCCTTTTACGTTTACGCTCTGCGTACGGTTTCTGACCGTACTGAGGGTACCTTTGAACGCCTCCGTTACCTTTTAGGAGGCGACCGCCCCAGTCAAACTACCCACCACGCACTGTCCTCCTCCCGGATAACGGGAGCAAGTTAGAAAACCGACGTGACAAGGGTGGTATTTCAAGGTTGACTCCACAAAAGCTAGCGCCCCTGCTTCATAGTCTCCCACCTATCCTACACATGTCAAGTCAATTCCCAATACGAAGCTATAGTAAAGCTGCACGGGGTCTTTTCGTCTTGCTGCGGGTGGGCAGCGTTCTTACTGCCACCATAATTTCACCGAGTCTATTGTTGAGACAGTATGGAGATCGTTATGCCTTTCGTGCAGGTCACCAATTAAGTGACGAGGAATTTCGCTACCTTAGGACCGTTATAGTTACGGCCGCCGTTCACCCGGGCTTCATATCAAAGCTTTGCAAATTAAAAACTTGCGAACTAATCAACTTAACCTTCGGGCACTGGGCAGGCATCACCCCATATACATCAGCTTACGCTTTAGCATAGAGTTGTGTTTTTGGTAAACAGTCGCCCCCACCGATTTGTGCCGCTCACCGAAGTGAGCACCCCTTATTGCGAACTTACGGGGTCATTTTGCAGAGTTCCTTAACAATAGTTATCTCGCGCGCCTTAGAATACTCATCGAGGGGACGTGTGTTCGTTCTCGGTACGGGTAACACGAAATTAAGCTAGAAGCTTTTCTTGGAAGTGTGATGTCATCTAATTCGGTACTTGGTTGCCCGTTCCCTATGCATCATACCTTGCTGTTAAGCCTAGCGGATTTGCCTACTAGACCAGCTCAGTACTTACCCCGCAAACCAATTAGCGGTAAGACTAACCTTCTCCGTCACTCCATCGCATTCGTGCCAGTGCGGGAATATCGACCCGCTGTCCATCGCTTACGCCTTTCGGCCTCAGCTTAGGTCCCGACTAACCCTGGGTGGACGAACCTTGCCCAGGAAACCTTCCCCAATAGGCGTCATGGATTCTCACCATGAATCGTTACTCATACCGGCATTATCACTTGTAAGCGCTCCAGTAGTCTTTCCAGTCTACCTTCAGTGCCCTTACAACGCTCCCCTAACGCAGTCACGTGTTACCGTGATACCCGTAGCTTCGGTATTATGCTTAGCCCCGTTACATTTTGGGCGCGGAGTCTCTTGACTAGTGAGCTGTTACGCATTCTTTAAACGATGGCTGCTTCTAAGCCAACATCCTAGCTGTTTATGAAACTCGACAACCTTTTCCACTTAGCATAATTTTGGGACCTTAGCTGACGATCTGGGTTGTTTCCCTCGCGACAATGGGTCTTATCATCCACTGTCCGACTGCATAAATATTCCTACTGGCATTCGGAGTTTGATTATAGTTAATACCCCTAGGCGGGGCCCTTCCATATTCAGTGCTCTACCTCCAATAGTTAAATTTACACGCCCGCCCTAAAGCGGTTTCGGGGAGAACCAGCTATCTCGAGGTTCGATTGGAATTTCACCCCTATCCACAAGTCATCCAAGCACTTTTCAGCGTGCCGTGGTTCGGTCCTCCATGTCGTGTTACCGACACTTCAACCTGCTCATGGATAGATCACCTCGTTTCGGGTCTATGCCATCGTACTAAAACGCCCTATTCAGACTCGGTTTCCCTACGGCTCCACTTTTTTCTGCTTAGCCTCGCACGATAACATAACTCGCCGGTCCATCCTGCAAGATGTACGCGATCAGCCATTAACGGCCTCTCACTAATTGTAAGCTCTAGGTTTCAGGATCTATTTCACTCCCCTCACGGGGTTCTTTTCACCTTTCCCTCGCGGTACTAGTTCACTATCGGTGTCTGGTTAGTATTTAGCCTTACGGAGTGGTCTCCGCGGATTCAAACGGGGTTACGTGCCCCGCCCTACTCAGGATCCTGTCAGAAGGTCACGGCATTTCGGATACGGGCATATCACCCTCTATGAGGTAGCTTTCCAGCTACTTCTCCTATACCGCAACTTTGTAACTTCATGTAGACAGTCCTACAACCCCAGCAAAATGCTGGTTTAGGCTGTTCCGCTTTCGCTCGCCGCTACTAACGGAATCATTGTTATTTTCTTTTCCTTTGGCTACTTAGATGTTTCAGTTCGCCAAGTTAGCTTCACATAGCTATTTATTCACTATGCGATGCGAGGGGGTTAGCCCTCGCGAGTTTCCTCATTCGGAGATTCCCGTTTCATTGTCTATATCCGACTCCACGAGACTTATCGCAGGTAATCACGTCCTTCATCGCCTACCAGACCCAAGGCATCCGCCTAAAGCCCTTCCTTATTTAAAACAAAGTTTTAAAAATGGAATTACATTACATCAAGAATTTAAATCTATCAGTATTTGTTTGCCCTGCTTGCACAGGGCGTTTTACCTATTTTTTTAGAGTTATATCTAAAGTTGTGAAACATTAATTTTTTTCGACGAAAAAACGTTGTGATTTGACTCACAACTGCCCAAGCGGGAATAAATCGCTCGGGACTTTTTTTTCTCTTTATTGACTAATGTTGTTATTCAGTTTTCAAAGAGCTAGGTGCACCCGAAAATTTGTGTGCCCCGTAATCTTACCACGATTTATTTAAAGCGCACGGCAAATCCCAAAGAATTTTTGGGAGCGCGCAAGTTAACAAATTTTTACCCGTCAAACTAGCTTCAATAGCCAAAAAATAATTGTCCCTCGCGCGCGGCCGTTATATTTTTTGGGCGATAGCTCCAAGCGGAAATTGTTTTTAGCCCAAATTCGCTTTTTACTGACTGATTAAAAAATAGCCAGTAGTTTTAAAAACAAACTACCGCCGCGCTTTTTAGCAGCATCTTAGGATATAGTTTTAGTGCATAGAATTTAGGAGTCAAATGAAACTAAACTGAAAAATTGCCTTACCTTCGACCATCGCGGTGGTGGCCTCGGCCGTGGCCATCGCGGTGCCGGTCGTCATTGTTAATAGCGCGAGGAGTCAAGCCGTGCAGCGGCTGAGCAACTTCGTGTCGCTTGGCGGGGCGGCGCAACAATTTGATTTAAGTCAGCCGCTAAACGTTGTCGCGATTGGCGATTCGGAAACCGCGGGGTTTAACGGCTACCTGAGCAATGCGCTCACGCGTAACAGCGGCTACAGCACCGAGCGGGGTGGGGGCGACTACGTTTCGTACGCGGATTTTTTCGCGCAGTCGCTTAAAAACCACCTTGGCGATGATAAAGTCAATTACAAAAACTTAGCGGTCTCGGGCTACGTGATTAGTGACGTGACCAAGCAATTTCTCATTCCCGACGTGCGCGCTAACATTGCCGCGGCCAACATCATTACGCTGACCATCGGCGCAAACGACTTGCTGCGCGTGATTGACATTTTGGGCCGCAACTTCTGGGGCGCAATTGACCTGATGGGGGACTTTACCGCTTACTACGAGCGCGAAAAACAAATTGCGCAAGATGAAGCGGAAGCAGATTTAGACGAAGACGAAACTAGCACCCCCGCCGAACGCGAAGCATTACTAATCGCGCGCGCCGCAAGCAAAAAAGCGCGCTACGAAGCGGTGCTTGCAACCGTACGCACGAAGCTGTTTAACACCGAAAATCGCGTCGGCCTTAAAGACGCGGTGCTCGGCGGGGCGCCCACCTCGCTCGCTAGTGCAAATGGCCTAGCTGCTGATTTTGCAGAAGCCTTTGCGGGCATTAACAATTTGTTAGACGGTAAGTTCGAAGCGATTCTAGGCATTGATGGGCGCTACCGCGACACAATTTTTAATGCGCTCCGCCGCGCGCTTGCGCTACTAATTCATGACATTCACACCTTGGCGCCGCAAGCGCAAATTGTCGTGCTCGGCCCCGCGATGCCTTTTGGTCAGTGGCCGGCCAAAGTCTTGAGTGAGCCTAACGCTAACATGCCGGAAAACCTGAGCCTCACCGATGGCTTTGACAAAATTCTCGCCACGATGGAAAGCGGCGTGAAAACCGGGCTCAACGGCACGAATGATTTTGTTGATTTTTACAAAATGGACGAGCTCGCGCAGTTTCGCGCCAAGCACTTTCGTCGCATTCAGCCGGGCGCGCTAAGTGATTCGGCTTACCTTAAAACCAACATCGTTAATAACGCGATGCCTAACGCGGTCGACATTCACCCTTCTACCTTTGGCCATGACTTGGTGGGCGACGGGCTCTTTCGCCTGTTTGCGCCGCGCCTTAACATCACGATTGACGAAGCAAAAATTCAGCACTCGGTTTCCAAATTGGCCCTCGAAACGGCGCCCAGCGACCTTTACAATCCCGCCGCGCGTTTAGACGAAACGACGAAAGCCGCGCTCACCGCGCTCACGCTAGACCCGAACCAAAACGGCGTGCAACCATCCGAGCTTACGGCCTTTCAAACCGCGGCGCAAAAAATCCTCGCCGCGCACCACCTTTGGTACCGCTTTGACGAAGATGCTGAACTACTAAAATCCGTGCGCGATAACACGACCACTTTGCTACTAACCGCGCTTGACCCCGCGGGGCCCGTTAGCAAAATTTTGCCGCTCAGCCTCGCGGTGAAGCCCTACTTGCAAGCGAGCGGCGTTGAAATTGCCCACGGGCAGTTTTTCAACGTCGTTAAAACTTTAGGACCAGCTCTTTTCCGTTCCTTTTACAACAACCAAATTAAGGCCATTCGCGAGACCACCATTGACCTTGGCTTTGGCGATGAGCCCGTTGGCGAAGAAACCCCGCCGATTACGATCACCACGCTTTTGCAAGAAGCAACGCGCACCGCGCGCGCGGCCAAGGCCGAGTACGACCGCGTGCAAGCGGCTAAGGAACCGTGAGACGCGTCTAATCCGCAGTACGGCGCTTACCAGCAACTCGCAATTTATGACTTAGAAAACATTGCCGATTTTGAAAAAAATCCTGAAGCGGCGACC